TTCCCCTTTATCCTATCTCATCTACCTACCTCTAAACTCCCATCCATATCCGTATCCGCATCCGCATCTATTATTATATATAGCAAGTCTGGCGTTCGGCGTCAATGTATCAATCTAGCCTGGCAGGGAGACATACAAATAGTCAGGCCGGCAGGCAACCAGGTAACAGGCAGGGAGGCCGAGTGAAAAAAGTGAATCGAGTTACCTATATTACCTACCTGTTCATCTACCTGTCTACTTAAGTAGTTATCTATTTACTCAAGTCTACGCAAAAAGCCACTATTTGATGTAGCAAGCAAATCTGACAAGTATTTATCATCTACCACGTCATATCTTATCATTCGTTGCTTATGTAGCTATTCATCTACTAATTACCACATCCTCACGCCTGGTCCGGGCAGCGTTTCGGGAGATAGCGGTGCTTGCTCTCAGTGAGTACATTTCCTCCAATATATGGAAAGCCCGGTAAGCTCAGGTCAGACCAGGTCAGATCCAGGGCGGAAAACAGGAAGAAGGAAGACAAGAAGTAAGACAAGCAAGGAAAGAATATAGGAGTGGACCAGACTACCTACCAGTTCCACTGCCACCTGACCGAGGGCAACAACCAGACCAGCGCAGAGGCAACTGCGAAGTACCAGTGCCACATGAGATGTAGAGGCAACTGTAAAGTGCCGGTGCTACATAAAAAGGGGTTGCCGTCCACCTATCCATATCCCCCCTCTCTTCCTCACGCCCTCCTCAACATCAACCCTTCTACACTCTTTGCAAGCTGCCGGCCTGGTTTGGATCCTTAGACAGCCGGAATCACGCCGCGTTCCAACTATCTGGGCGGCAGCGTGCAGCAAATATCCACTACCGTAGCGCATGCCTGTCATCTATCTACCTCTACGACAGACAAAGCTAACTATTCAGACCCCGCCCGCGTGTCGCCAACAGAGATCAAACATGTCCGGCCGGTAATGCGTATTGAGGCACAATTAATCGACCAGATTCTAAACTACGATCCGACGTCTGAGGACCCATCCATCAAGCCTGCTGTCGCCAAGGAACATTCTCAAGATAGCACACCGGCGTGCAACAATAGGTATGTATCTACCTACCGTTCCAGATCGAGATGCAGCCATTTAATTGATACAGGTTGAAGATGGCGGAGCTTGGTGCCGAACCCGCTGCTCTCATGGTGGAAGATGAGAATGACTCCTCAGATCAGGCCCGAGGGACGAAAAGACACAAGAGTGATGCGTTTCCCTCACCGCCGAATGCAGACCCAGGTCCCAGAGTCGGACCATATGCAGCATCATTCCCTGGCGGCCCTGCCACGCATAATCCGGGTGCCTCTTCTAGCACTCTCGCATCCCAGCCTGCCGTTCCCGACACCACTGCTTTCCGCGAATTTCTCAGTCCGCATAAGGAAGAGCTCAATGAGCTAAAAGATAAAGGCAAAGGAAAGACTCGAAACTCAGTGCCTCTCGACACTACCCTATGTACCCTATGTGGAGGGAAATCTGACGCCGAGGCAACCGTTAAGTTGTTGCAAAAGCAAATCGAATACGATACCTCCCACATATCCTGGCTTGAGGCCCAATTGACAGCATCAGACCAAGAGAAGACTCGATACTATGATCTTTTTCTGGAGGCACAGAAGAAACTAGACATTCTACGTGCGGAAGTGCAGATCATACATGCCGAGCGACGTGAAGACAATCGAAAGTATATGGAAAGGATCGCGGAAGAGAACCGGATGTTGTTAGCCAAGGCTTTGGAGAAAGAATGGTCAAAATAACTCCCTCCCAAGTGCTCAAATATAGCTACCACAGAACATAGTTGCTACAGAAAAGGTACCAAAGTTTATTGAAGCAAAGTCTTGAAGGAAAGGGGTTCGCGGTGCTCCCTTGGGGGAGATTTGGCCGATTATAGGTGGTTCCTTATGGATAAAGGAAGCAAATAGGTCGAATTAACAGGTAGCTTAGATCCAGTAACCAAGACCAATACATCCCATATTCCCACGCATCCCAGAACAATTCAAGTTGATAATACCTTCTTCCATACATACATAGGTAGGTAAATAGTTTGGAATAGCTAATAAGGACACTCCTGTCGCGGAATAGCACAGCACGCTAACTGAAGGCTTGATATATATTTTGAAAAGTCGACGACGCGAGTCCCGTTGTTCGGTGCTGCGTTACTGCGGTGCCGCAGTACTGGATAAAATCTACAAGTGAGTTTCAAGTTTCAAGTACTAAGGCCTACCTAGGTACATATGTAACCTTAGATACGTAGGTACGAATTTTCAATGATCGGTACCTACTAACTATGTGTGTAGGTAGAGTCCAATGACCCAGAGGTACCTAGTTTGGGTAGATAAAGTAGTACCCAGCATCACGTACAACGCGAGGGGGGCAGGAGGATCAATCGAGTGAGTGACTGAGTGACTGGCTGATCAAATAACAATTTGATTGATCAATTAAATAAGTAATCGGTTGGATGGATGGATGGATGACCTGCTAAATCATCCAGTATTCAAAACTATATACTACGGTAGCTCCATAGGGCACGAGACAACCTACTTTCACATTATTGCGTGACCCTAAGATGCTTGTAGAGCATGGCAAAATATCATGATGGGGCAGAAAGACAGTATAGAGCACGGCGACGTTGCTCGAAAAGTAAATTCAGGATGTGACGCGGTATGAGCGGATCTACTCTCAGCTTTTACTATAGACACGATACAATCCAGCCAACTTCGGCAAGTTACAATAGTCCGAGTAAATTCAAGACTTATCATGCCCTTCATTTTTTGCTAACTGGGTATTCATTCGTCTCCAAGTACCTCGGGGTATGATCCAGATCGTGCTCGCTCTATTCATCCGAGTAGCTCACAGCCGCTCTTTACATAGCGGCGCGGTGTTCATGCCCTCGCCTTGTCTGTCTACGGGAGTATATACTCCGCATGGGCTCGCCTGTAACACAAGCATCGAGCGTCCAGTTTCGTACGGCATTATATGCAAGGCCGTATAATTACTGCCCGGAAGCATGTAAGCAGTCGTATAGTCGCCGAAGTATACACGTCGAGAAATACCGTGCTCTCCATCTCCGTCGTGTGTCTTCTCTTGCGCGGGGCGCGTGAGAGTGCGAGTGCGAGCGAGTTTAGGAGGCTCTAGTAGCCATAGCCACCGCGGCGTTGAACACTCGGGTCGGTCTTGTAGCCGATGATGCGGGAAAAAGTATAAATACGGTTTCGCGCATGCTAGTCGCTATCCCCATCATCGTCCAGAGCATCATCGTCGTCGTCGTCGGGTTTCCGGCGCTGCTCGAGCCTATCGCGAACGTCGTCTTCATTGTCTTCCTCGTTCTCGTCCTCTTCCTCATCTTCTTCCTCTCCATTATCCTGATCATCCTCTTCATCTTCCTCTCCGTGCTCTCCCTCCGGTTCCGTATCGGCGTCGCTAGCGTCGCGCGGTTCCTGGGTCTCATCGTCGTCGATATCCATGGCCGAATCCTCGTGTGCAGCGTTAGGTTTCTGTTTTTTAGCAGAGCGTGGCGCTGATTCGGGCTGCGTTGTGGTGCTTGTCATAGATAGCAGGGAGGCGTTGGGATCGAGGCCATCGGGATCGGGCTTCTCTCCCTTCTTTTGGGCGGCAACCTTGCGGCGGTACGTATTTCGTTTCGTTGTCTGGGTGTCGTTAAATTCTGCGAGAGCACGTAGTTCGTTAGCATCATGTTATTATGAACGGTATCTTGGCAACAATAAGCCGTATGTATAGTGGTGGGGCAGACGGACTCTTGAATTCGGCCTCGACGCGCTCGCGGAAGAAGGGAAACTCGACGTCTTCTAGAGCTTTGAATACATCGGCGGGCATGATGGTCTTCTTGTTGGCGCTTAGGGTATGCTCGTTCGCGCTGTTCGTAACGGCGATCTGTCAGCATGTTGCAATGGCATATCGCAGACCACAGCCAGCAGCTTATCCATAGCTAAGGGGGAAACAAGGACATACGCATTGGCGAGGTGGTTGATGAAGACGGTAGCGCTCTTGCTCATGGCCAGAATGGCATTAGCTTGGATCTGAGTGTTGGAAGGCAGGACGCCCTTGGCCAGCCGAGTAATAATCGACTTGGGCAGGATCAGGTCCTGGTCGTCGTGTTAGTCATTGTCTTATTATTTCTTATTTATCCAATGGCCTCCAACACCCTCGCCGGGCAGTCGCGCAGTCTAGGAACGAGAACCAACCTCGATGGTCACCGCATCTTTCTCTCTTTCCTTCTCCTTGTCCTTCTTGTCCTTCTCCTTGTCGCGGTCCTTATCAGCGAGCAGACTCGAGTCGGCGGGATCGTCCATATCCATCATGTGTGTGGTAGTCGAAGCCGAGGCAGCTGCAGCTGCAACAGCAGGCTTGAGCTGCGGTGGCACGGCCGGGGCGGGCTCGGTCTGATCCATGTCGCCGTCGTAGACAAACTGTGCCATCGAGACGTCGCCTCGTTTGGAGGCATCGGCCTTTTTGGGCGGCATGTCGCGTAAAGTACCTTCACCTTAGAGAGGTGGAGACGACGCGCTAACAATGGGATCGGCAGACAAGGAGCGCAAGGAGCGATATGGGGAAACGAATTGCTATGCGTATGTGCCTAATGATGCGTAGGCCTGTCTTGAGTATTGATGGTCGTGCAAAAGAAACAGTGCAAAGTGCATTGCGTGAAACAACGCGTAAAATAGAGATCAATTTACGAAGTACTTCGTACTCCGTACTTGCACCAGAAACGCGAAAAGATGAAAAGTGGTTCTAGATTTCGCCAAGTGCCAAGAGCGCGGCTAATTGGACTTAGCGCATTCGCTGCCTTGGCTCAGGCTTGGCTCGTCCAACTGTCAGTTATAGATACTCCGTAGGTGCCTGGTTCAATAAATTGTTTGTGTAAGTATTCAGTGTACTCTACTCTAACTCAGATCCTTCTCCTCTGTGCGTTAATTATATATACCTAGTTATCATAACTCTTAACAAAGCTTCCAAGGGCATGTGGTGTATATGGTAACACCCCGGTACTCATTATCCGGCATCCGGAGTAGTCGGTTCGAGTCCGACCATGTCCAAACTTTTTTTTCCCCCAGATTTCCTTTTCAGGTCGATATCTTTATGATTGAGCAATCACTCCGTAGATCAACTGACATTAGTACCCCCCCACCCCCGAATTCCGTTGTCTCAAGATTAATTTCTAGTCTCCGGGGACCATAGTTATAGCCCGTTGGTTGTGATAAGGTCTGTTGGCTGCAATGGCTGTATGCCCTGCATTCATGAGGCCGTCTCACGAAGCCTTTGTGTCCAATCAATCTGAGTAGCGGCTAGGGATCATATTAGCTAGACAGGGCCAAGGCCTCATACCGTGTAATAACAAATCTAGAAAGCATCATGGCTTAGGCTTGGCTTGTCCAATTGTCAGTTATAGATACTCCGTACGGAGTAGGTGCCTAGTTCAATCAATTGTTTCCGTGTAGGTATTCAGTGTACTCTACGGAGTACTCTAACTCAAACCTTTCTCCTCTGTACGTTAACTATAAATATCTATCTTTTAATAAAGCTTCCAAAGGCATGTGGTGTATATAGTAACACCCCGGTACTCATTATCTGGCATCCGGAGTAGTCGGTTCGATTCTTACCATGTCCAACCTTTTTTTTTTCTTTTTCAGATTTCCTTTTCAGGTCAATGCAGGTGTCTTTGTGATCGAGCAATCAGATCAGCTGACATTAGGACTCCCTCAGTTACCTGACATGTCTGTGCCTTTAGTAATTAGAACAGCTATAAGTAACGCCACAAGCCACATTTCTAACCTTCGGGCGGCCACGCTATTTTAACAGCTACGGGCTGTGTATATTCGCTATTCTTTTGACCTCCGGGGGGCATGCCCTCCTTTACTCTAGGAAACAGTGAATAAATTTATGTTTTGGTCCGCCGCTTGCCTCAAGCTTCAAAACTCACTATTTTAAAGAAGCGTTGGTTGTGGCTATATAGCTGCAAAAGCTGTGGCATTAATTACTATGGCGTTAAGTATTTATTGGTGCATTATAAACCACATGCACGAAAATACCTATTAGGTAACAAAGGATGTGTCGATGTTAGTTGATGTATAGACTCTCTATGATGCTACTACTAAATCAATTCCAAGCAGAGCACTATGCGCTCCCTACAATTCCCCTGCAAGCGGCATGCATAGAAGCTAGAGGTGGTCTAGTAGAAATCGAAACCAGCCTTCCGCCTCCATTTCTATGCCCTTTTACCCATAGCCCCTGCGAGTCTTGTACAGTACTGTAACTCTGCAATGGACTGCAGCGGAGACGGTGGGCTAGATGCAAATATAGGTTACTGTTTGGCGGAGAGATAGCTGAGGCACTCAACAAGACCCTGGTGTCTCTGTCGAACAATACCCTTATCTTTGTACATTCAATGAAACCGTAACGACTTGCGGTATGCCTGACGGGACGCCCATCGATAACTAGTTGCAGAGCCTGTGGAGGATCCGCGTAGCTATGGGAAGACGATGCGCGATGGGAGGTAGTGTCAGATAATAAGTCACGGAGTGAGTAGAAGTCTGTTAACAGCTAGATCGCTGCGAAGGAGGTGTATTCAGGGCTCAATAGATAGATCAATTGATTACTGCACCTCCCGAATAACTGATCGGGGACCCAACCGACCTATATATACACACTAGGGTGGCTAAAGCCGCCCGAGTGTGAACTGTCCCATGACAGGTAGATAGGAATGGAGAGAGGGAGAGAGGTATCAGATTTCTTCTTCGCATCATTGGACCAGCCAACGAGTGCAATGAAAAAACGAAAGGCTTGACCCATGAATGTCTGCCTATGAACCTGACAGAAGTAGGTAGTCTACTATGACACCCCTGTCACGGCTCGCGGCATACCCTCTTGATCAGGAATTCTCGCCTCCCCCGAAGTCCGTCATCCCAAGATCCACTATCAATCTCCGGGGGTTCTCAGCTTGACGTTTGCCTGCCCACGCCGTCAAGTATCCGGAGGCAACCCCGGCGGCCTGAGCGAATCGCCTTGAGATCTTTCAATCCGGCCTTGAAAGGAAGAAAACAGGAAGACAGGAAGAACAGAGGGAAACGAGACCTTGAGATATAGTAGATTCGGACTGTGCGGGCATAGAAAGTCCCATATGCAGCAGACTCGTTCCTACTACCTCTTCAGAATGCAAATCTGTTGTGGACCCGGATGGGCAGTTTTCAAAAGAAGGAGCGAAGAACACTCTACCTTGGTGTTTTCGTGGTCTGCAGCATACAATGCCAATTCAAAACATGCTGTTCGAGGTAGAGTGTCAGATAAGCAGTCTGGACTTTTCTCGGGTATACCTATCATATGTCGTTCAAAGCGTTCTTTATAAGTGGCTGCTCACGACATTTTTTAGGTACTGTGATGTTACGGATGAGACTGCGGAAGGAAGCTCCTTCTTGCATGTCAAGGAGGCTTTTCGTCAGTAATCGTGGCTGCTTCTTTGAAACAACCTACCTAGTATCAGCGTCATACTCAGAACATGTTACACGCTACTTCAAGTTTGAATAATTGGAAAAAATAACCTGAGTATCAGTAAAAATACCAGTAAGTACACCTAGACATTGTAGCCTTTAAGCCAGACCCATGGCCTTCATCACCAGAAGTGTAAGCTGCAGAGAGGGAAACTAGGCTATAGGTATGGCTTCCCGCCAACTAGTGAGGAATCAGGGTGTGCAGCGCTTGCGTATTACATGTGCCAATGGTATTGCACTTGGCGTGGTGGTCTGGACTGCTGAAATGTGAAGCTTTACGCTAGCCAAAAACCAGAGGTCATCAGGCCTGCCGTATTATGTAGGCGCTCAACAAGAAGGCAGGACAACCTAACAGGATGGAAATCAATGGAAAGACCTTAGGACCTCCAGAGAATTATTAGCTGAACTAGCGAAGTTCCGAGCCACCTATTCTGGCCCCTTGTCACAGTATTTCACATGAGCTGCACCGGCTTACATGATCATGATCTTGTTACTTGGTTTGTTTTCATAATGAAGCAGGGCAAGGGAGAGAAGACTTCCTTATTCGACCCGCGATGAATCGCCATTTACCGTTCTATCCAAGCGGTTTCATCGGGACTATTAGACACAGAGCGTCAGTTGTCGTGATGTCTACTGCACAATCCGACCCCAAACGATCCTTGGTCATGACCTGCCCGTTGAGCGGGATGAACTCGGGCTCTACCAAAGCAATAGGCGACTACGCTGCGTTAACGTCAGAAGATATGACCTAACCTAGGACTTAAGGTTGAGTAGCGAACAGCACATCCAGTTCTACTAAAGCTTCGCCGTTAATTTGCCATGCCTAGATCAAGACGGGTCGAGTCACAGGCGAAGTCTCTAGTGATCAGGGTTACTTCTCTTATTCATCCTTAACCTAGCCCCCTTACTACTACCATGGCCACTTCATTATTCACAGCCTAAGCTCCTCATCGCCCATTGACTTAAGTCGTAGCTCGTCATTGCCAATAGGCTCTAGCATACTAATCAAGCTCTTGATAATGCCTATTCTCAGCCAAGACGCAACACCCTATCCTTGCCAATAGAGTACTAACTGGTGCTGCCGGCTGCGATAAGGTCTGTTGGCTGCAGTGGTCGCGTGCCTTGCATTCGTGAGGCCGTCTCACGAAGCATTCGTATCCAATCGATAATTACAGCCCCATTTATCTAGGCAGCGACTGAGGATCATATTGGCTAGACAGTGCCAGTGTCTCAATACCGTGTGACAACAAATTCAGAAAGCATCGTTGATCACTGTCGCGCCGCCGCCTTCCTCGCAGACGGGAGCATAACTGAGCCCATGTTCCACTGCCGTTTTCTCGAGAGCATCTGGTGCAGACTATCAGTATTGCCCAATATTTTTGGGAATTCATAGAATCATCATGGACTTACCAATGCCAGCGGGAAGGGCAATGACTCCTTGTTCACAGAGTGCTACGAGAACATCCTTAACCCAGATGCGGCAAGTAATAGCCTCTCCTGTTCGCTGAGAGGGGCTGCCATCTGCTGGGATGCTCCGGATGACTTCTTTCGCCCGTGAATGACTGTTGACCTCAGCCACTAGTAGCAGGGCGATCAACGATAGGGATTGCTCTGGCTGAGCTTCCTTCTCCTCGTACACCCAGGGTCCGATGCGGTTGCTTGCATGGTGGAGGGCAGGCTTGCCATCAGAGCCCGTGAGAATCAGGCCCCAATGCTTTGGCAATTAGCCTATGATGAACGCTAACAAGGGAATTGGGAAGAACTTACATATTCTCCAGGGGACGGGCGGGCATCCAGGCTGATGTAGATTGACTTGCTGTTAAGTCTTCCATTAAGAGGCATTGCCGGTACGAGTGGTTTGTAGAGACAATCGGAAAAGGCAGAAAAATGAACCAGTTAGGAGAATGACTGTGAACTTGGTGTTATAATAAGTAGAAAGGCAAAAGGAAAGGGTGAGATGAATATGTAATTGTGTCGAAGTTTGCCTAGGTACCTAAGTCAAGTGGATCGGGTAGCATGGCCAAAATTTTATCACAGAAAAACTCGCTCATGTTTGTCAAAAAGTTCCAGCCTAGGTCGTGGTTGGGCACCCAATTAGTGTATTTTTGAACAATAGTGAAATCAACATCCCAACGAAATGTGAAAGACAGCTGAATGGAAGTCGAGGCTAAAACGCACCCATCGGGCTCTCCTCATTCCACGTTCGAAATACCCAGGTAACCAACATAACATCACTGACGAGGCTGAGTGCTCCCCACCAACATGTGTGACCAAGGCTGGCGGCGATGTCAGATAGGAGCCAATTACTGTCTCTTGAGTGATCCGTATGCAGCGCCTCCCATAAGTCAAACAATTACTAGTTTGTAGATAAATTTTTGGTGTTGGTTTTGGTGGTGTTTGGTGTGACAGAGCGAGTGGGTTAGCAGGGGGGTTTGACTGCTTCTAGCCTTTGCTTTTGGTCTATAAAGCTATGAGTTGCTCCCAGTCTCCTTCGGAGACAATATGTACAGATAGCAGGCCGGATTTCTACCTCAATTTCTTGAATATATCTT